AATTAAAAAATGTTTTGTAGAGATCAGTTCTCACAATATTGCCTAGGCTGGTCTTGAACTCCTGGCCTCAAGTGATGCTCCCGCCTTAGCCTCTCAAAGTGCTGGGATTACAGGTATGCTATGCCCAGCCTATCCTATATTTTCTATCTCCAGCATTCTTGCTATAAACTAGTGTTTTCCTAGACCCTCTCCCTCTCTCTCTTCAGCCCTAAACTGTCATTACATCCAGTCATTTTATTTCTCATTTCTGAGTTCTACCTGTGTCACTGGACACATTGGCTTCCATGTTGCCCACCTCTAATTCATTCTCCAGAGGGAGGTTTTTAAAACCCAGATTGGATTGATTCATTTCTCTGCTCACAATTCTTTATTATCTTTTATTTATTTTTGTATTTCAAAAATGATTAGTTTTTGAAGGTATAATTGACAGACAATAAACTGTACATATTTATAGTGTACATTTTAGTAAACTCTGGTGTATCTGTACACCATAGAAGCATCAGCACAATCAAGATTGTGCCCCTTTGAAATCTCCCTCCTGTGTACACAATCCCAGTCTCCAGAGAGCCACCATTCTGCTTTCTATCACTGTAGATAAGTTGGTATTTTTTAGAGTTTACATAAATGGAATCACATGCTATGTGATCTTTTTGTCTTCTTTTCCTCAGCATAATTATTTTGAAAATCATCCATGTTGTTCCACATTTCAAGTGTTCATTTCTTTTCTATTACTGAGTCGTATTCCATGGTGTGAATGTTCCAGTTTTTTTGACCCATTCACCTGTTGATGGACATTTGCATTGTTTCTGGGTTTGGGCTGTTACAAAGATACTGGCTGGGCATGGTGGCTCACACCTGTAATCCCAGCACTTTGGGAGGCTGAGGTGGGCGAATCACAAGGTCAGGGGTTCAAGACCAGCCTGGCCCACGTGGTGAAACGCTATCTCCACTAAAAATACAAAAATTAGCTGGGTGTGGTGGCAGGCGCCTGTAATCCGAGCTACTTAGGAGGCTGAGGCAGGAGAATCACTTGAACCTAGGAGGCAGATGTTACAGTGAGCCAAGATCGTGCTATTGCACTCCAGCCTGGTAATAAGAGCAAGACTCCATCTCAAAAACAACAACAGCAAAACAAAGATGCTATGAATATTTGTGTATAAGTGTATGGACATGTGCTTTTCTCATGGGAAAACACCTATAAGTTAAATGCTTGAGCTATATGGTGCACGTATATTTATTTAACTTTTTAAAAAGTCCTGCTTGAAATTCTTGTTTTTTGTGCTTTGAGGATAAAATCTAAACCCTTTAGCACCACCTGCAGGGGTGTCCATGACCAGGCTCCTGTGCCAGCCTCCAGCCACACTGTCCTTTCCTGAGTCCTCAGTTCCCTGTGCATTCTCCTCCTGGAACTCGAAGAAACGATCTCAGCAAACTGAACTCATGTGTGACTTCTTGCCACTCTGTGTACACAGCGGTCACAGCATTTATCACATGGCATTGTTTTTGTTAGATTACTGCTTCTGATGGCTTCAACAGTGGTACCAGAGAGTTGAGCCTGTAGTTTTCATCTGTGTACATAAACGGCTTTTGTACATCCCGTGTTTTCATTTGGAAGGTTTTCTTTTTTTCATTATAAATAATCATTAAAGCATCTTTGGAGGTATTGGTGAAGGTGGTGGATTGAAGACATGAATCTCATTTTGTGCCTTCCTGAAACTCACTAAAATGACAGTAGAGAGATATAAAAAATAGTTTAAACCCACAAAGATGGGAAGAACAGAGAAAAGACAATAACAGAACAAAACTGGAGTTTAGGAAGCAGACAGATGTGTGGTAACTCACTTAGCATGCCAAGAAAAGCTCAATTTGATTAGCAGTAGTGAAAACTGAGAACCACTGGATACCTCAAGATCCTTAAAAGGCTCCAGAGTTGGCGGCTTGGTACCTCAGTAAGTCCTTCATCTTAATGAAGATTAAATTGATAGGCTATTTGATATGAATACATGTGTTAAAAAGAGAGACAATTGGCAGTGAGTTGAATAAATGGTAATATGTGAACGAAGGAAATGAAAAAGCATGACAATTATTAACTAGGGGAAAAATAAGAAATTGTAATAGCTTAATATATGGCTCAGTTCTTCATAGCAAACACAGTCATTATATAGACATATAATTGGATATTGACATAATCCAAATTACACATTACTATTTTAAATAATTAATATACAATGACTGAACTGAACGGAAATGTGAATGTGTCATGGGAGAGAGTGGCAGGTGGTCGAGGTGAATAGGAAAAGAGCTAAGTTTTCTTTCTGCCACAGTAAAAGTTCATTGAGCCGGGCGTGTTAGCTTATACCTGTAAGGTCAAGACAGGTGGATCACTTGAGCCCAGGAGTTTGAGATCGGCCTGGGCAACTCAAACCACATGGGACAACATCGCTACTTAAAAAAAAAAAAAAAAAAAAGTTAATTGAAACGCCCAAACTAAAAAATCCTGAGGCACAATTCATTTAGCAACATAGAAAAAAATATTCCACCGGGCACGGTGGCTCACACCTGTAATCCAAGCACTTTGGAGGCCAAGGCGAGCAGATCACCTGAGGTCAGGACTTCAAGAACAGCCTGACCAACATGGTGAAACCCTGTTTTTTTTTGTTTGTTTGTTTGTTTGTTTGTTTGTTTTTTGAGACGGAGTTTCACTCATGTTACCCAGGCTGGAGGGCAATGGCGCAATCTCGGCTCACCGCAACCTCCGCCTCCTGGGTTCAGGCAATTCTCCTGCCTCAGCCTCCTGAGTAGCTGGGATTACAGGCACGCGCCACCAT